TTTGTTTGTCACCAACACAACTTCAATTTTAATGTCAAATCTTTGTAATACACCAGTCAGCTGTTTCCCTATGCCTTAGGCAAGATATACATATTTTATGTGAATTTATAACTATCATTATCATTAGTATTGAGAAGAAAATTGTATCATCTCATTTGGAAATAAATATAATCTAATCTAATCTAATCTAATCAATGGGAAGGCAGAACAATAAGGAGCGGGAGATCAATCTACAAATGCTACAGCTACAATTGGAAGAAGTACAGGAGAAGGATCCAGTAGTGACATTTACTGAGGGCTCCGTAACAGTATTAGAAGTTGGTATTCCAGAAAAATAAAAACGGAAGTATACACAACACAGGGTGAATCGAAGTAAGAATTGCATTTATTCGAATACTGATCTCAATACCATTGATGAGAATTTTGATGTACCCACTATTGAAACCTACCAAAACTGATCCTATTTCAGATAATAATCCTTCTGATGATTGTCATGATACGGAAGAAGAAAATATTCAATGTATTCTCACAAAATGTATGCGAAATTTTAGTGCCGATATTGAAGAATTTGCCACTAGACAGTATGTTTCCCCTTTGCCAAAATTTTTTGGTGGTATTAACGGATTTCCACAAAGCTTTCTCTCATTTTAGTCTTGAGAAAATGGAATGGAGTAAACTGAGAATACGATTTATCTTTCAGAAAAATCGTTCAACTGCCAAGGCAGCTATCAGTGTTCTCGAGAGAATAGTAGATAGCCTGGAACAGAGTTATCATGTGGAAATCACTCTCTGCGATTTATCTAAGGCGTTCGACTGTGTCTCTCATGACATCCTCATTGACAAACTCAGGTACTATGGAATTAAAGGTGTAACTCCCACCTTCATTGAATTATATTTAACGAATCGTTTTCAAGCTGTATATTCCAACAACAAACTATCTGAATTCAGTGATTTGAGATTTGGTATTCCACAAAGTTCTGTTTTGGATCCTTTATATAATGTACATCAATGGTCTTTGCCCATATATGACTCCATACGATATTTTGACACAACATTGATTTATTCTCAAGAAGAAAATGACTCTCTAAATTCTCTATCTGACTTAGTAGAGGAAATAGCCAAACTATGGTATATCCCGAACAAACTGAAACTGAACAACGAAAGAACACAAAAACTCTTCATCACTACTACCACGTCCTTACAAGAAGAGGGAGAAGTAAACCTATTGAATCTTACTATAGACGATGAGCTCAATTGGTCGGCTCACGTTAGGCAACTAAATATAAAACTATCTAGCTCACTTTTCAATTTGCGACATTTACAACGCATCACTAACACTACTTCTCTCAGAATGGGATTTTTCTTTTTAATTCAGTCCGACCTCGATTACGGACTTTTACTTTAGGGTACCTCATCGGCAGCTTTTACTGTCTTCAGACAGCAAAAATAGGCCATGAAAATTTTGAGCAATGCGAATTATATCTTCACTCTCCCGTCACTCTTCATCTGGAACACTAACAAAAAATCTCCAATATTAACAACACATTCCGACGTTCATCAACATGATACCAGAGGAGCAAAAATGATTAGATCACCTAGATATCGGGTTACTGAATCTAAAAAGGATTCTATAAACTATAGCCTATATAACATTCTTTCCACTGCAGTCGAAGATATGGATATATTCAACTTCAAGAAAATTATCGAATCATGTCTGATTGCTTTCTACTCCCTTAAGGAATATACTACCTTCATGAAACAGGGTTCACATAACCGAATCATGAATCAGATGTATCAATTCCACATCCGCGCCATTTGCTGTACACAATGTTTATCTGATCCAAAAGAAGCATCTTAGGAAAAATGTTTATTTGGGGGTTCAAAAAACCAAAATTCAAAAATGTTGCTTAAAATTATTTTGGGCTTAAAACCCTTGAGAACTATGTTCTCAATTTTGTAGTTTATTTCCTCCTCCTAAGTAGAGCAGCAATGTATGTACCAGCCCAAGCCAATCAGAGACCAGCATTTGGTTGGAGGCCACGCCCACTAAAAACCAGCGCGAAATTCAAATTATTCATACGTCGTCACGTCGCCATCGTGAATAAATAAATTAAAAAAAACTGTCACCGCTGGGAAATTGAACCAGGGACCTTTGCATTATAAGGCAGCGTATATACGCACTGTGGTATTCCGACCTCCGTGATATTTCAATTATTTTAATGCTATTCAAACGGGATATCCATCGCTGGCGCGCGCTTATCTTTGCAACGGATCTATCGAGGTAGAGTGAAGCGAAAGATGCAATCCAGAGATAACAAACTTCGAGTCGAAAATAATATCCATCGCTGGCGCGCGCTTATCTTTGCAACGGACCTATCGAGGTAGAGTGAAGCGAGAGATGCATTCCAGAGGTAAGAAACTTCGAGTCGAAAATAATATCCATCGCTGGCGCGCGCTCATCTTTGGAACGGATCTATCGAGGTGAAGCGAAGCGAGAGATGCATTCCAGAGATAAGAAACTTCGAGTTGAAAATAATATCCATCGCTGGCGCGCGCTTATCTTTGCAACAGATCTGTAGAGGTAGAGCAAAGCGAGAGATGCGTTCTAGAGATAAGACACACAAGTATTACATCGAAATAAATTTATGGTGAAATATTTCCATGTTGGTTTTATCGACATTATACACACAACACCAAATGAAGCTTATGCTGATAAGAGTCGTGTGCAGCGATAACCGTCACATTGTTGCCAGACGTTGGAAATTATTATTTATGAAGTTGATAAGGTGTTGTCAGATTTTCAAAAAATATCTGATGTCGCGTAATACATGACATATGACGTATGACAGATGGTGTTTGCAATATGATGTATGTGGGGAGTGGAAGGATACGAAAACAACTATATATTATAATGAATTATTTTATTCAAGTAATCCTCTTCTACAAAATGATATGCCTTTTGAGAAGATGGCGGTCCATCCCAGTGTGTGGTCCAATCGGGACGATTATGATGAACGAAGCATGGCAGTTTGATTTGTAGGTTAAAGTTGCTGCGATATCCTTGAGGAAGTTTGTGCCACACCCTCAATAGCCCATAAGGATCTGCATATTCAATGAGACATTCTACTTGAATGTACTGCAATTCTTGTTCAGTGAATTTTGTCAGAGTCAAAGCGGGAGATTTTATAAACTCCAATAGCACAGCTATTTCAGACTTCATGATTTTTCGAGCAGAGCTAAAATATTTCAGATGCTACTAGTCTCGCGTCAAGTTGTATACTGATGAAATGAAAAAAAAACTAGTCACATTTTTCACAACATTTTATTCAAATCAGACATAACCTCATCTTTACAATAATAAAAATATTCTCTGAGAGCATTACTAGACATAAAATCAGAAATATCACAAAATCCAGATATAAGCTCTTCCGCACCCAAATCAGTCAGGCTATTTCTAATCCAATCAGCTATAGTATTCAAAATGTTCTGACAATACATGGAAAAGTCCAATTTGTTTATTAGCGCAACTCGATGTGAAACAACACACGTTTCAGCCCTCAAAATGTCTGCAACATCCTCTTCCACCAATTCGAATGTAATGTGGTATTTGTTGAGTGACAACATTTCGACACCATCGCAAACGAATTTGGTTATGGTGATATAGTCTCCGCAGGTGGTAACGGCAGGATCATATTCATCAATGAAACAGGGCAGGGGTGCTTCAAAAAAGTCTTGTTGTACTTTATACAGCGAATCGATGAAGGTGGCCCATTCATATGTGGAGAACGAAATTTTTGCTGGATGGAAGGGTTTCTTCAGGATGATGCTCGGACTAAACTGTCTAGCTGGACTAAGTCCGCACTGAATCATGTAGGTGGACAACTGGAACGATGAAGTCAGCAGGAGGTACGATTCAGCTTTCGCTGCTTGCTCAACCATCTCCAAATACGTATCAACGTCACCATAATAATCCATCATTGCCAATGAACTAGTACTACCGTTTTCGGAAAACACTCCACGAGACGAATAACCAGAGTCGATACTCATTGCTATCAAACTGATGTGTTGGATTGGGTCGGTCCTCACTATTTATACCACCACTGCCAACACGTCACAACATCCGATAATGGTTGTTATTTGTCAGCGATCGACGTGAAAGGCCCCTCACACCCATTGAATTTGTGCTAGTTTTCCATATGATTACATTATAACTTGTTGGTGGAATCAATCCAGCTGTTGTGTGTATCATCGAATCCTAGCCATTTGACAAACACCTTTTTACCCCTCTTCCTTAAAACTTTTTCCACTAGGTAAACATCGGAATTTTCAGTTTTTTGCAATTCTTCAGGATAAAAGGCACCTTTGATTGGTGTACCACGCAAATCTTCCAAGATGTATGTAGTAGGTTTCGTAATACGAACTTTTACGATCTTAAATAGTTCAGTAGTCTAATTTGGTGTATAATTCTTTTCGAAAACATGTTTGGCTTTGCTTATTCTCACAATGTCACTGTTAGAAATAACTATTGACACTATTTAGTTTACTCGTTATTATAATTCATTTTCCAAATCTTGTTGATATTCGAATCGATCACTCAGTACGAAGTAGATGATGGACATTGTCAAAAAAAACTAGAATTCAAATTGTCAGAAACTAATCATTTGATGATACATTATTCTGAATATATTCTAAGAGATAATAGCTTGGACATTAGGGGCAATCGTAAGTCACTCTAATTAATGTTATTATTAGTTGTTAATATTGTAATTCGTAGGAATTTGAGTATATATACTATACTAGTCAGTGGAAGAAGTCAGCTAGGCTACTCAATAAAGTCCACATTGATTTACTGCAAATTGGCTTCTAATAACAAGTGTTCAAGCGTTACTATATCTCCAACAAATTCTCAAATTCGACTCGGTCTAAAGATGGGTCCATCAACGATTGGAAGAATCACAGACCACTGTTTAATATGCAACAGACCATATCGCGAAGAACGAATGGTCGAATGCACAAAATGTATTAAATGGTACTGTTTTGAGTGTGTCAACGTAACAGAAGCTGTAGCTCTAGATGAATATTGGATGTGTCCATCCTGTGAAGCCATTCATCAAGAAACCATGGCGCAGCAATCTGATATTCAATTTACACCTCACCAGTCTTTGAATCAGTTAGGAGTCATTCCAACATCATCAGAACCAAATAAATCAGTCACTATCACTATAGCACAAAGCGTAAAAAGCAAACATAGTGGATCAACCACAAGCAGCAGGCGCAAGTTGAAATTGCAAATTTTACAAAAAGAAATAGCACTAATAAGAAAAGAAAGAGAATTAGCTGAGCAGACTCGAAAACTTCTTGATGAAGAATCTGATGATAGCCAGTGTTTGGATAAAGAGGAATTGGAAAGATCTGAGCCATTAGCAAATAGACTATTTTCACTACAAATAGAAAATGGTGTTCAAGAAGCTAGCAATGGAGTTCTACCTTATATCCTCAACGGAAATGGGAAGATTTTAGAAAAAGAATCAGAAATGCAACGAAAACAGGCAATACAGAAACCGATTCTTGCATTCAACCCACCAACTTTCGAAACATTGGAACAATCTCCGATTACTCCACAGCAGTGTGCCGCGCGACGTACTATTCCAAAAGAACTACCAACTTTCAGTGGGAATTCATATGATTGGCTCTTATTCATCAGCTGTTACGACAGGTCCACTCAAAAACCAATTACCAACCCCACGACCCAGCTCGAATAATAAAGTAACATCTAGTGTTACACAATACTGGCTCTGGAATGAATTTGTAGTCATCAGGTGAGCAAACGAAGTGCAAAGTATGCAGAAAGGATTGCAAGGTTGTGGCAGAATGCAGAGTTTTCCAAAGATATCCGATATCAGATAAATGGAAGACAATAAAAAATTTGAAGCTGTGCAGATTATGCTTGAAAAGACATCGGTATCCATGCAGATATCCAGTAAAATGTGAGAAGAATTAATGCGAACGAAAACATCACCCACTCCTCCATGAAGATGATGATCCTGCACCTGGACTTGTAGTGCCCACTTCATGTTCAGATGATTCTATCAATTCAGCAGTCAATGTATACCATCAATCTTCTCCACAGGGCGTCCGCTTTCGCATATTGCCAGTTATACTAAGAAACGGAGATAAAAAAGTCGTAACATATACATTCCTAGACGAAGGATCATCAATCACTTTGTTGGATGAAAGTATATCCGAAGAACTGGGCTTACAAGGAGATTATGAACCATTGTGCCTAAAATGGACCGGTAAGCAACAGCGACTAGAAAACAAGTCACAAAATGAGGTTGTACTTTCAATTGTTGGAAACTTCCAAGGTGCTAAACGGTTCGACCATCGTCCTGCCCGTACAGTTAGCTCATTGAATCTTCCGCAACAAACTGTTGATGCATCTTAACTCGCTGCTTAGACAACTGAAAATTAGCTTTACCACTTCGAGTCGTTGAAGGAGAGGAAGGTCAACCAATTGCGGCAAAATCTAGATTAGGATGGTCAGTATTTGCACTTCAGTCATCATCTCTGCAAAACCGTGAACTAACCTGCAATAATTATCATGTATGTGTCGACACTATGATGAGCAATCAAGAACTCCATGAAGCAGTGAAGACTCTTTTCTCAGTGGAAAGCCTCGGAGTTAGAGCATCGAATGTTTCGTCAAAAGAACTCAGTAGAGCAGATAACATTATGCAGTCTACAATAACCAAAAACGGAAATACTTCTTCGATTTCGTGAAAGAAGAATTGGATTCAGCGCAGACATCAAGGAAATGTTTCTGCGAGTTGGAATCAGAGATGAAGATCAGCAAGCGCAAAGATTTTATTGGCGAGATGGTAATCCTGAAAATGCATTGGATACATATGTCATGAGAGTGATGACTTTTGGCGCAACATGCTCACCAAGTTGCGCTCAATATGTGAAGAACACAAATGCAAGAGCAATTTCTTCACTGTATCCAAGGGCTGTAGAATCTATTATGAAGAATCATTATGTAGATGATCTACTAGATGCTGCAGATAGTGAAATGGAAGCCATCCAAATTGCTAAGCAAGTTGTCCTGATTCATTCAGAAGCCAACTTCGAAATAAGAAATTGGCGTTCGAACTCGAATAAACTCATGCAGACGATGAACGGTTCTACGCGAAATCCTGAAGAGATCAACATGAATATGGGTACGGAAGAAAATACAGAGAAGATTCTTGGTATGTGGTGGAATTCAACAACAGACTGTCTGATATATTCATTGAAATACAATAAGGGTAACAGAGATGTCCTAGAAGGTAGAAGAAAACCAACAAAACGCGAGATACTACGCATACTGATGTCGATATATGATCCCTCAGGGCTCTTGTCACATTTCCTGGTGTATTTGAAAATTCTTCTCCAAGATATCTGGAGAAGTAGAGTAACTTGAGATGAACCAGTATCAAATGAACAATTTGAAAAATGGCTCTCATGGCTCAAACATCTACCAGATTTAGAAAAACTTTCAATTCCAAGATGTTATTTGGTGAATTTTTCAAATTGGGAGAATTCCAATGTACAGCTCCACATATTTGTGGATGCTAGCGAGAATGCCAGTGCCGTAGCTGCATACCTTAGGACTTTCAAAGAAAATGAGTCTGTAGAATGTGTCCTTATTGGCGCTAAAACACATGTAGCACCTATAAAGCTTCAGACAATGCCTCGTCTTGAATTGGTTGGCTCATTACTGGGTGCTAGATTTTCAAAAAATATCAGACGACATATGTCAATACCAATTCATGACACCATTTACTGGTCAGACTCCAAAATAGTTTTGAATCGGATACGTTCAGATGATCCAAGGCAGTTGTGCAAGTATGTCGCCTATAGAGTAGCCGAAATACAAGATAATACTATGGTATCCAATTGGCGTTATGTTCCTACAAAACTCAATGTCGCTGATGAAGCGACAAAATGGACCAAACAACCATCATCAAAGGCAACTGACCGATGGTTCAGAGGGCCAGACTTTTAATACGAAAACGATGAACTATAGCCAACTGAAGATCCAACTGAAACACGGCCTCTGGAAGCGATTGTGAATATTCATGTGAAAAATGAACTCATACAAACTGAAGAATTTAGCCGATACACAAAATTATTACGCACAATGGGCTTTGTGTTCAAATTTTTACAAAATACTCGTAAAAACACTTTGTGCCAACCGAGGTCCATGGGTGTATTATCATCAGAAGAATTGAAGCTTGCTGAAAATTTTCTAATTCGAATGGTACAAAGAGAGTTCTATTCAGAAGAAATTAAAAAACTGTCTGATTGTTCTACATCGATACATCCTACAGTGAGTCAAACAAGCAGCATCTATAAATTATCACCGTATGTGGACCAGGACGGAATACTTCGCATTCGAGGAAGAATAGATGGTGCTGAATGTATTGAAGCAGATACTGGAAGACCAATCATACTACCCCGAGATAGTCATCTCACCTTACTGATTGTCGAAAGTTACCACCTTACCTTTCAACATCGCAATCATGAAAGTGTTGTTAATGAAATCAGACAAAAATACTTTGTTCCTAAATTACGAAGAACTCTGAACAAGATCCGAAGAAATTGTCCGATTTGTAAAATCAGACTTGCTTCTCCTAACGTCCCAGAAATGGCGCCGCTTCCTGAATGTCAATTTGCCACATTTAAAACTCCATTTACTCATACTGGGGTGGACTACTTTGGACCAATAAATGTTATGGTCGGAAGACGCATTGAAAAACGTTGGGGAGCTCTATTCACGTGTATGACCACAAGGGCTGTTCACATCGAAATAGCATCAAAATTGGACCATGATGAATGCATTCTCTGTTTCACCAACTTCATGAACAGAAGAGGTAGGCCTAGACATGTGTATTACGATCGTGGAACCAACTTCGTAGCAACTGAACGTGTTTTGCGAGAAGAGCTACAAAAGCTTGATCCTGATCTTATTGCTAATTCGTTCGTTAATCCAGAACTAGCATTCCATTTCAACCCACCTATGTCACCTCACATATGGGAGGAGCGTGGAAACGCCTGGTCAAGGCCGTCAAAATTGCCTTGTATGATGCTTTGCCATCAAGAACACCCACCGATTCACTACTGCGCAGTTGTTTGATTGCAGCTGAAAACATAGTCAATTCCAGACCGTTGACCTATCTGCCATTAGATTCCAAAGAATCCGAGGCCCTAACTCCGAATCATTTCATTATCGGTTCTTCCAATGGTGATAAAACCATGGGACTGTTAGATGATAATGAAAAGGTGTTGAAATTCAGCTATCTATACCGAGAGCAGTTTGCTAATAGATGTTGGCGCAGATTTGTTAGAGAGTATATTCCTGAACTTCTATTACGTTCAAAGTGGCACAAACAGGTAGCTCCTTTGGAAAAAGGAAATATCGTAATAATATGCGATAAAGACCTACCCCGTTGCAATTGGCCCAAAGGCAGGATTATAGAAGTTACAAGAGCGCGTGATGGATAAGTAAGAAGAGCTAAGGTACAAACAGTTACCGGAATCCTTGAAAGACCCGTAGCAAAACTTGCTGTATTGTCGGTGGACAAACCTGAGAATGGTACAAAACTTGCTCCTGACAGTGCTGTACCGGGCGGGAGTGTTAGAAATAACTATTGACACTATTTAGTTTACTCGTTATTATAATTCATTTTCCAAATCTTGTTGAAATTCGAATCGAACACTCAGTACAAAGTAGATGATAGACATTGTCAAAAAAAACTAGAATTCAAATTGTCAGGAACTAATCATTTGATGATACATTATTCTGAATATATTCTAAGACATGATAGCTTGGACATTAGGATCAATCGTAAGTCACTCTAATTAATGTTATTATTAATTGTTAATATTGTAATTCGTAGGAATTTGAGTATATATACTATACTAGTCAGTGGAAGAAGTCAGCTAGGCTACTCAATAAAGTCCACATTGATTTACTGCAAATTGGCTTCTAATAACAAGTGTTCAAGCGTTACTATATCTCCAACAGTCACCAACGTCAAATTTTCTGGTTCCAACAATTTTGATGTGATTGTACGTGGTTTTTAAAATATCTTGTTCGTTGGCTTTGGTGACGTCACTGGGCTTGCATCTTATTGTCGTATGTTTCGTGTTATTATAATTTTTCGTGATTTCAGGCAGGACATCTATCCAACGGTATGAGCCATTCAAACTAAATTACTTGTATAGTTTTTCCTTCAATGTCCGTATAACACGTTCAGCAATGGCTGCCTTCATTATGGTGTACGTATGATAATGGTTGATGGAGAACTTTTTCATCAGACTTTGAAACTTTTCGTTGTAGAACTCAGTACCTTGATCGGTTTGCAAGTTCTTGGGTACTCTGGTGTTGCCAGCATGTGATAGGATATCTGCAAATGCTCGAGCAATTTCAGTACCAGTTTTTGATTTTAATGGTCTAGTCCATAGGTACTTGAAAAAACAATCAATTACGACCATCATCAGCTTGTGATCCTTATTAACAGAGGTATAAGGTCGCATTTCGGCTGGATCCATTCGCCATAAGTCATCTAAACCTTTGATGATGATGCGGCGCCTTGCAAATTTTTTCCTAGCAGGTCTATGTAATTCATTGACGAGTTGGATTTTTTCTTTAGAATGTGACATATTGACTTCGTTGGATTAGGAGTTCATATAATGGGTTTCACACAGGAGGCTTCCTTCT